CAGATTCATTCCTCCTCATGTCCTACCTTCCAGAAAGTGGTCGCTTTTCTGCTCAGAGAGTTGTTGCTATTCTTTTCTTCCATCTCTTGCTGAGTTTGTAGGTGTTCTGAATGGTTGGATAACTATCTAGCTGAATTCCTGGGACCAGATGAAATTTAGGTCTCCTACTCTGCCACCTTGCTCCTCCTAAATCAGCTTTATTTTCACTATATGCAATAGTGTGGGAAATAAAGGTATTGGACTTCTTAGAATTATAAATGAAATTAGAATTGGTATTATCATTATACATATAAATTAAAAATGCCTAAAATTTAGTCTTTGTAATTGAACAATCATGTTCTTCCTAATATTCAGAAAATTAGAATTAATACAATAGTGCAAAATTGGCTGCTAGTCACTAGGTGTATAAGATTCACAAGGGTAAAAAAACTTAGCACAACAATCTCAACAATATTGTACTCTTCTATCTTGGGAAGGTAAAAATGTCTAACATTTGTAGAGTATCTCATTTAACCCACGCAAATACTTTAAAAGGTAGATATAATTATAATTGTTTTAGAGCTGAAGAAACTATGGCTTGTGAATATTGGTATAACTTTCCCAAATCATATCACTAAAACTGACAGAACCAAATTCTCAAACATAGGCTATTGACTGAAAACCAATGCTCTTTTTTACACATACAATATTGACTTCTCTAAATCACATAGAAACCAATCTTCTGTCTAATAATGTCATTAAGATTCTACTTTGTTGCCATTTATTCATTTTATTTCCTCCTCTAAAAGACACAAAAAGAATAAAAGGCTTTATATTATTTCTTTTTTCTGATTTTATTTTATTTAAATACAATTAATTAACATATAGTGTTTCATTAGTTTCAGAGGTAGAGTTCAGTTATTCATCCATTGCATATAACACCTAGTGCTCATTAGATCACATGCCCTCCTTAATGCCCATCACTAAGTTACCCCATCCCCCCTACCCCCTTCCCCTCCAGAAACCTTCAGTTTGTTTCCTATAATTCACTCTTTTATTGTTTTTCTCCCCCTCTGATTTCTTATTTTCCCTCCATTCCACTATGATCCTCTGTTTTGCTTCATAATTTCCACATATGAGTGAAATCATATGATAATTGTCTTTCTCTGATTGACTTATTTTGCTTACATAATACCCTCCAATTCCAACCATGTCATTGCAAATGGTAAGATTTCATTTTTTTGATGGCTGAGTAATATTCTATTGTATATATATACCACATCTTCTTTATCCATTCCCCTGTCAATGGATATCGGGGCTCTTTCCATATTTTGGCTATTGGGGACATTGCTGCTATAAACATTGAGGTGCAAGTGCCCCTTCAGATCACTATGTTTGTGTCTTTTGGGTAAATACCTAGTAGTGCAATCTGGCTCATAGGATAGCTCTATTTTCAACTTTCTGAGGAATCTCCATACTATTTTCCAGAGTGGCTGTACTAGCTTGCATTCCCACCAACAGTGCAAGAGGGTAACCCTTTCTCTGCATCCTCATCAACATTTGTTGTTTCCTGACTTGTTAATTTTAGCCATTCTGATTGGTATGAAGGGGAATCTCATTGTGGTTTTGATCTGTATTCCCTGATGCCAAGTGATGTGGAGCACTTTTTCATGTGTCTGTTGGCCATCTGTATGTCTTCTTTGGAGATATGTCTGTTCATGTCTTCTGCCTGTTTCTTGAGAGGATTATTTGTTTTTTGAAAAACAAAACAAAACAAAACTAAGTTAGACAAACAGCAAAGACAGCAATAATAATATCAACAAAACAACAATATCTTCTGGAAGTGATTCTGGAGTATGCTGTGTACATTCTGCTATTGTGTTTTGGCTGATTTTTCCCACTGGTCCTTCCTCTACCAAGTTCCTCCTTGCTTGTAGTGGGGAATGTTTGTTCTTTTAAGTAGGTATGCTTTGATTTGTTTTTGAAGTTAAGCCATTAGGTGATGTTTTGGAGTTTTCTTTAATCAGTAGACTTGGTAGATATGGGGGTTTGTGTTGATCTTCTGAGGGAGAGGCCTGCCATGCTGGCTTACAATCTGATTTGCCCTCCTAAAGATGCCCTGCTGGGTCATGGGGGTGGGGTTTAGTGTAGGGGACTCCAACCTCCACTAGAGTGTCTGTGTTTCTTTCAGGAGTCTGACTGTGCTGGTGGGCAGGAGAGGGGAGGGGTGGTGGAGAAGGTAGAATATGGCATCACCTTGCCTTCTTGTCCCTGGGGAGCAAAACTCCTGGCAGCTGCTCTTAGGAGGTCCTCTTAGAAGAGCAAGTCATCTCATGTGACCCAGGCCCTTGTCAGCTCCCTGCCCTAACCTGTCTGTGTCCAGGTTGTCAGCACACCCAGACCCCCAGATTTCCTGTATTTTATCTCTGGCCAGTGGCTGGGATTCAAAACTCCAAGTTTTAAAGGGCCACATAATGTGTGTACCCACTCCTGTCCCCAGGCAGGGAGGTTTGGGGTGTGTGCAGCACCATCCCATTCCTGAAAATCTGTCACAGTGTTTATGCAGAGGCTAAAGTTTATTGTAACACTGAGGGAAAAGCTGGAGCCAGGTTATCAGCCATCTGCATTTGACTCAGTCCTGTGCTCCCCTTTGTCCCAGAAAAGCTATAGCAGAGGCTTGAATCTATTTTGGCAGACAGCAAAAAGCAGTAGTCAGGTTATCCACGATCTGCTCCAGTCTCTATGCTCTGTTCAGTCAGTCCCAGAAAAAAACTAGATTATTTCTTTTTTTTTAAAGATTTTATTTATTTATTTGACAGAGAGAGAGAGAGAGTACAAGCAGGGGGAGCATGAGGCAAAGGGAAAGGGAAAAGCAGGCTCCCTGCTGAACAGGAAGCCCAATGTGGGGCTCCATCCTAGGACCCTGAGATCATGACCTGAGCTGAAGGTAAACGCTTAACCAACTGAATGACCCAGGTGCCCCAAATACTAGATTATTTCTGATAGAGATCTCCACCATATGCCTCATGCATTCTGTACTGTAGCCACACCAAAACTGTAAGTACAGATAATCATGTAGGAATAAATTCTTCATTATAGAGGCCCTATTTTTCTTATGCAAATGAATATATCCATTTGGTTTTTGAAATCAAGGATACATCTTCAGTCTTATTGAGAAATACTTTCTTGACTATAATTTATTCATTTTTTTTTACCAAATGATTTCTCTCATATGTGGAATTTAAGGAACAAAACAGATGAACATAGGGGAAGGGGGAAAAAAGAGGGAGGCAAACCATAAGAGACTCTTAAGTATAAAGAACAAACCAAGGGTTGATGGAGGGGAGGTGGGTGGGGGTTGGGCTAAATGGGTGATGGGTATTAAGGAGGGCACTTGGTTTGGTGAGCACTGGGTGTTATATGTAAGTAATGAATCACTACATTCTGCTCCTGAAACCAATACTACACCATATGTTAACTAACTAGAATTTAAATACAAACTTGAAACAAACAAAAATCTTGTTTATAATTTAAGTTCTCTATCTCTGTAGAACAGCCTGAGTACTGCTGTCTGATTTTCATCTCACTCTTAGTGTTGTGCCTTACTCCTGATCACATGATAAGATATTAATCAATTTGGTGATACAACTCTTATTCTTGATATGACTTTTCAAACAGTGTTCTTTTTTCATTGAGTTTAAGAAGCTTGTATACCTTGAATGCCCAGATACTTCTAATGTGTTTTACAGCCGGATTGTTTATAACTGTTTTAGTATATTCTATTATTATCTTGAGTGTGAATGAGTTTAACAAATAGTGCAATTGCATCATTTTTTTTTTGTTTCTGTCAGGGTTTAAGCCTTTGTCACTAATTTATAATAATAGCACTATATTAGTAAATTATATAATACATGCTATTGAAGAACAGAGCCATTAAAAATTATAGTTACCACCTTCCTTCAATATTTGTTGACACTTGGCTTGGGATAGAAAATTTATATTTGTGTTTCTAGTATTTACTATAAAACATAAATAAACACTACCAAGATCTCATGTCTTTTGCATTATGTGAACACCACAAAATGCTATCATGTTATCAAAAGCAACATAATGACTTCATGTATTTACAAGAATATGAGCTCCTTTTCATAGAAATAAATCTGTGAGGGCTATAGAGTAAAAAAGCTTCATTGTCATATATAGAATACCCTATTGAATACTTTTCAGAATGTATCTACATAAAGTTGTCTCTTTTATAAATGCCTAAAGATTATGAGGGTGCAATTAAAAATTTATCTTAAGGATTCTGTATGTCGTTAAAGAAAATTTTATGAAAAGACATATCTCTTTCTCTCTAAAAAGGCACTATCAATTTCTAAGGGGAAACTACTGCCCAGCATTCTTTGACTCTTTCCCAAGTATGATTTTGTGTTTGGTGCAAAAACGTAAGAAAAATGTTCTTAGGACCTTGAAGAAATGGTAGAAAGAGGTCTTCTGTTTTTAAAATTAAGTGATGTTGATTTTTATTTTATTTCTGCCTATTTACCTGACATATCAAGCCAAAGAAAATTTTTTTTTCTCTAAACAGAGAGATTGTATAAATTATAGAAATTATATTCCAGGAAATAATAAATTGCTAGTATTTCTAGAAGCAAAATGAAAAAAAAATAATATAGACCTGTGGTAGCCAAACTTTGTACAGCAAGTTTTATTTTGGCCACATTGTGCCAATGAATTCCTACTAAATGAGCTATCTCCTAAAAAATAAGGTCTCTGAATCTGGACAGTATAGATATATAAGATAAATTATCACCTTTCATTTTTTTATGTCTTAATGAGCGCAAGAGGACAGAAGAAAATTTAGGATCATGGCCACCTTTTGAAATATCAAATAGCAATAATCTATTGAAAGAAATTTCTTTTTCCTTTCCAGAGATTTGTGTTGTAATGTGAATGTCAAAGTATAACTTTATTGTTTTTTTGTTATTCTTGCTCATGTTTTATTCTTCTCTTTATAGCAGTTTCAAGAATTCAACTTGTAAGATACCTGAGTGATGACAAGATTGTGAGATTTAAAGAGGTATCTCCAACGTTCAGTGACAATCAAAACTCACAGAAAAAGTTAAAGGAAAAGCACAGACATAGCCTCTCTCCAAAGCCAAACACAGTCATGGATAATAAGCATCGCAGAAATGCCAGGTGCAAAACTTCTGTATGTAAAATTCGTTGCAAGGACTACAGAGTCCCACAAAGTTTTCAGAGTTCCCAATCTCTAATTAATCCTATTCCTCCTCTAAATGCTGAGGATTATACCTCCGAAGACTTAGCACCTCTCTGCCATCCTATGTCCATGAGCCCTCGGCCTGATGTACACCCCAAGACTCACAGAAATAACACATATTCTTTGGACACTGGAGCACCTATATGTTCCAAATGTTTCTTGGAAATCAGTAATTCTTTTCATAAATGTCTTGTGAATTCTGATAATGATTCAGACCCTGACTCTACTTTACATCTCCAAATTCCCTTGGATTCTAAATATTCTCTGAGCCCCAAATCTATTAGACATCATAAGACTTCTCGGAATAGCCCTTTATCTCGATCCCTGGATCCTAAGCATCCTGTGGGCATCCACTGTCCTTTACACCGGGAGGATTCTAAATATTCCTTGGGCTCAACTTCTTATTTACACTGTGAAAGTTGCTCAGCTCTTCAAAATCTCATAGGCCTTACTGTAACCAGTACCTTTCCCATGAATCCTCAAAATACCATGGGCCACCATAGTACCCCTGACTCAGACAGTGCTATCTACACTAGCAATGTTCCTGGCCTTGAAAATGAGGGCAAGTTTAACCTTACTGCTAAATTTGAAAATGAGGTCAATTCTGACAATGAAACTAAATTGGCCAGTGCTGGAAATCTCAAAGATAAGGCCAATGCCAAAGAGAAGCCTCTTCTCAAAGATGAGACAGACCATGAAGACAAGACAGAGTCTGAAGATGAAAAAGATCCCGAAGATGAAATAGATTCTGAGGATGACAACAACACCAAAGATAAGAAAGACCCCAAAGATAAGTCTGACCCTGATGACAGTGATTCCAAAGATAGCAATGCCGAAAAAGATGCAGACACAAACAATGGATCTGATCCCAGTGGTGATGCTGACCCTACAAGTGGAGCTGATTCCAATAGTGATGGTGATTCTAACAATGGAACTGACTCCAACGGTGAACCTGACTCTAACATTGATAACGCCACTAACAGTGATGCTAACTCCAAACATAGCACTGATTCTGATGGGAAAAAACACACCAATAATTCAGACAGTACCTCTGGCCTAGACAATGGTGTTGATCAGGACTGTACTGCTAACTCCAACAAGGATACTAATACAAACTATAGCTCTGGGCTCCAAAATGGACCTGGCCTGGACTACGCTTCTGGTTCCAATAATGGTGCTGGCCCCAACAATAGACCTGGCTCTAAAATCAATAGATCTGGCTTCCAAAACATTGCCTCTGACCCCCAAAATATCAGATCAAACCCCAACAGCTCTGGGTCCATTAAGAATGTCTCTGGCCCCAACAGCAATGGTTCTGGCCACAATAACAATGGCCCTGGCCTTAAAATAGACCCCGACTCTAACTATAATGTCAGGCCTAGTAACACTACAAGCCACAGTAGTGCTATTAGTTTTAACAAGTATGCTGATTCCAAGTATGTTACAAAACCCACCATTGCTACTGGCCACAGCTATGCAGCTGTCTCAAACTGTGACTCAGATCTTGACTGTGTCTCAAGATTTACCCATGCAGTAGGTTCTGGCCTTCTACTTAACTCCAACTATATTGCCAGAAATAGTTATGCTGCCAAACCCAGCTCTACAGCTACCACTGTCAATGCCATTGACACTAGCAATACAATTAGTTGTAGTGGCGCCATTAGCCCTAGTTATACTGCTGGCACCACCTTTGCCTCAGGCACTAACCATGACCCTAGATCAATTCATGTATTTGGATCCAACCTTGTCACCAACCCCAATTATGATGCCACAAATACCCATAATGTTCATAATGCTAGCAATATTAATAATCTCCTTGAGCCTGAATTGGAAATCAGTACCAATTCCTCCATTCTTAATATTTTTAATGGTAACTCCCCCACTTTTGCTGCTAACACAAACTATATTTCCACTCCTGGAAATTTGACCACCTCTGAATTTTCTAATCCATCCAAGCTTGGTATAAATTACACAATTTTTGATAACCACAAATTTGGTGCCTGCCTCAAAGACTCTGCTGGCTCCATGGATTTTGTTAGCCTTAAGCATACAACTGAGTCCAAGGATGTCCTTGATGCCAAGGAATCTGGCTTTTTAAAAGGTTTCTCCAGGGTCCAGAATCCCGTTGGTATCAAGGATCCTACAAATTTAAATTTTCACTCCAATGCAGATATTCCACTCCCTAGTTTTGACATTATAGTAGAAGCTGAACCACCAAATGTTGTGAAGTTTGCTGTATCATCAGGTGCTGTGAATCAATTTTTTAAGGTAAGTTTATATAAATGTAGGCTTTAAATTTCTTCTCTGTTTCTTATAATTCAGAGTGTTAGGTCACTGAACAGGACCAAAAAACTTCCTTTTTAAAATTTACTTGAATATGCAATCCATGGAAGAGAGGAGACAAGATGTCCACTATTATTTATTTTTTGACCCTGGTAGCCAGCAACACGGTTTTCCATTTGAAAGATCCATCTGCTATACAGCTGGTAAATAGAAAAATGGCCTTGATTGCACTGTGGCTGGCTCATTCACTACCTCCATCAAAGGTAAAATGGCCAAATGTTGGTTTCTTCCCCCTATTTGTAGAGAAAGTAAAGTTAAATTGATTTTAAATACCATGAATCAAGACATTTGAAACTACTATCTCCCCAAATCCCATTTTTATAAGGAAGCTGGCAAAAGTAGCTATAGCTATTATATTCTAATTTTTCATTAAATAAATATAATTTTAATTAGTTTGGTGACATAATATTAAGGAGCAAAGAACCCTAAATTTTTTTTTTTACTTTTGACTTAAAATTTGCTTTTTCTTATTTCTCCTGAAAATGAGTAAAATTATATCTTTAATAAGTCTTTATCAAATGTTTCTTCTAGCACTCTGAATTGCATGCACAAACTAGGATTTTTATATTTTGGAAGACTATTTTTGACAGCAGCAAGTAATACTCTTTTTGATGAAACTTTACCACCATACTGTCATTGAGACATAATCAAGTTGGTACACATTGAATTTTATTTTAGTTATTCTTCATTAGACATGGTAAACAAATACATTTATTTGGATTATAGTGTCTGTGTGGATAAATGTGCAACTTGAAAAATTACTTTGTTTTCTATTAGAATGTATAATTGAATATATATATATATATACATTTTAAAATAAGGCATATAATCTTATAACCAAAATGAAAGTACAAAATTAGTATCTCTGTAATGCTTTTACTTTAATAGAGAACAGTTTCATGATTTTCCCAAGAGAACCATCTCTCTGGAAATAGTTGTAAATACCTAGTATAGCTTTATAGCTCCACCTTATGTAAATTCAAGGGTAATGTCCTGTTATAAGTAATAAAAATAATATTGCTAAAATACAAGCCTTAACATTAGAAAAAAGAGATGTTTTCTCCAGTTGTTTTATACAAATGAACTTTTGCAGTGGTCTGAAAACTTTTAAAATATGTTTATTTTATGGATTTGGTATTTTTGGATGAATGAAAATATGGTTATCATAAGTTTTAGCTTCCTAGTTAAGGAACACTTTGCAGTTAGAATCCTAGTATATAAGAACTATATTTCCTAAGTTTGGGTATGTAAAACATATCTTGTTGATTTTAGATGGAAAGTAGGGCATTTCCTTCCCCCCCCAAAAAAACAACCAAATTTTTCAAATGGAGGGTACACAAACAAAGCTTTCTTCTGAAAGAATGGATGATTGCTTTCCTTCAGAGCTTTGGTAGTTCCACATTTTCCTGGTTTATTACATCCTTGTCCATATTTCCATCACAAACAACTACAATAGGGAAAACAAAGGTACTTGCCCCATTAAAACAATTTAAGAAGTGAGAGAAGCTCACTTTAAAAGGAATAAAACTTTTCTACTAACCACAAATGAACCATACAACCAACTTAACATCAGAACATTTAGTCAAGGCATTTGTATCATCTTCATTCATTATTTCAATAGGCATTTAGTAATTAAACAGTGTAGAAATCTCAAAAAATATACAAAGTGAAAAACATAGTGCCTTTTAAGGTGCTTTTAGCCTACTTATCTTAATAGGAAAACAAGTGCCTATTTGAGGATAGAGGCTATGTGAAGACAAATAAAATGGCATCTCACTGAAATTCTAGAATGGTTAGAAAACATTTTGGTTGTTCAGATCACATACCACCAGTGTATTAAAGTAGTTGGAAATATGTGTGTATTAATTATTACACTGTGTTGCACTTTTCAGAAATAACTCCTAAAATTATCTTCCTTTTTGTGAGGGTTAACATTGATTTCTATGGATAGTGGTTTTAGAACTATATTACTAAGAGCCTGATATCATTTAATAAGTTATCTAGAAGTTATTTACAATTCTGAAGAAACAATATGATTCCATATAAAATAGATAAAAGTAATATTCTATCTTTCTTAAACTTTGAAAATAGTTTTTATTTATAAAAAGATTTACTCAAGGATTTAATTAATTGAAGTACTTGACAGATTCCAATGTACTTAAGAAAAATTGCATTAGGGCCATTCAAAGAAGTGTTCATCTATGATTTATGGTAGATTAAAAAAAACAGATGATTCAGTAGTGATGCTGAAGGAAATTTTCATATAGTATAGTCTATTATAACCAGAGTTTTATAAATACAGAATTATATAGGTCTTCTTAGCGACAGATGTCTGAACATGCCAATCAAATATGTTATGCTTTTTGCACCAAAGTTCTCTTACATTAGTACCTCTAGAAATTGCTCCAAAATTAACCAACAAAAATACTTTTGTTTATAAATATCTTGTATATTTGAGGAAGCCTACAGATAAGTCTTGGTTCAGAAGAGACTAAATTTGTAGTATAATGTCATCAAAATGGATTAACTGAAGTGGCCAGAAGTTTTCATATTTTCATTTTGAAATGGTCTACCCAATGTATCATTTCCTTCCTGATCATAGAGCCATTAAAATACATGAATAGGTTTAACTCTTCTGCCTAATATTCATTGAAATAAATCTTAGTTAAACCCAACCTTTAGGCATATTTAGGTATGGAGTACCCACATACTCTAGGTAATCAAAGCAATGTCCTGCCTTGTTGTTTCTTAATTAAATATGTTTACATAGAGATAAACAGTTTTTCTCTTTCTAGCTTTTTAGGGATATGCTGTGTTTTGTCAGTGGGAGACATGTTTTCTGGGGATTTTCAATCTATGATACAGTAAACCATCTCCTATCAACTTGCTCAAGGTCTGTTAATTATTAAACTGCTTTACTGAGTTCATCTGTGCGCCAAACCTTTCCATAAAGTCACTCCTTTATATATCAGCTTGATCATATTTCTTTATAATACTGAAGTGCTTCCATGGTATCCTTTTGCTGGATTTGTTGTTAGATAAGATAGGGTCCTGAAAGTGTTTAACTGAAATACAGTGAACTGAGTTGGAACCTACTTTGGAATTAATTAGTAAAAGATCTCAAGTTAAATGTAACTAAATAAATAATATTGAGTAAATAAAAAAGTTCCTCCTCCTAACCATGTGAACTGCCCATTGTTCTCTGAATAGTTTGGGGGGAAAAAAAACAACAATTGTTGGTTTGTTAAAAGATCAAAGTCTCAGACTGAATTCAGCCTTCTCTATCTACACACCATGCATAGTTTTCTTTTTCTCTTTTTTTAAGTTTTATTTATATTATGTTATCTTAGTCACCATACAGTACATCATTAGTTTTTTTTTTACACTTCAATTATGGCTATATTTATTTTTTTGTTTTTTTTTTTGTTTTTTTTTATTATGTTATGTTAATCACCATACATTACATCATTAGTTTTTGATGTAGTGTTCCATGATTCATTGTTTGCATATAACACCCAGTGCTCCATGCAGTACGTGCCCTCCTTTAATACCCATCACCAGGCTAACCCATCCCCCCACCCACCTCCCCCAGTACATCATTAGTTTTTGATGTCGTGTTCCATGATTCATTGTTTGCATATAACACCCAGTGCTCCATGCAGTACGTGCCCTCCTTTAATACCCATCACCAGGCTAACCCATCCACCCATCCCCCTCCCCTCTAAAACCCTCAGTTTGTTTCTCGGAGTCCATAGTCTGTCACGGTTCATCTCCCCCTCCGATTTCTCCCCCTTCATTATAATTTTCTGAGCCAACCACAAACTTGCAATGACCCAGGTGAGCAATCCAAAGGAAAGCCAGTTACCCCAAGCTCAAAGTAAAGTACACTTTATTACTGCCCCTATTGCAGAAAATCTGTGCAAATGACCTTCTTTCTGAAGGAATTTCAAAATTATGTATTTTCCCTTATGCCTCAAGGGCCTTTGGCTCAGCCTCCTTAAATGTAACCACAGGATCAATGATGCATCTTATCTGAGCAGAGAGAGAGAAAACAGACCAAATCAACTTGAATCCAAAAATTGGTAGAGACTAACTTAGGAGAACTTTAATACTATCACTCAACACCATAAATCTTAAATAATTGACTAAAGAGACATTTTATTCTCAAAAAGAAGATTTCACTAGATTTTCAAATCTCAGAAATGTTTGCTACAATGACACCAGGGTATATGTAGTGCATTCAACAGTTATAGGATCTGTGCGGTCTGCCATGTTCCAGGCTTGAAAAAAACTGAGGCAGGTGTGTCTGAATTTATTTCATCTTTTACTTGAGGAACAATTAGTAAACTACATTTTCCAAAATTTTTAAGTCTGAGTTTGGAAGTATTGAGTATCAAAGACAATAAATGTGAAATGATTAAATAAGCAAGGTATGAAATTTCAGGTTTTGTCTCTCATGAGTTATGTCAACCAATCCACTTCTAAAGATACCTGGATTCATTAAGTGGAATATTTATGGGATGGAAACTATTGACCCAGTGTAATAGAATCCCTCAATAAAATGAAGAATGTAGATAAGAAGGTAGCAGCAAGAGAGGATTATATTGGAGGTGAAGACAAAGGAAATAATGTTATATGGAGAAGGAGAGATATTGTGGAATAATAAACATGATTGCAGTAATCTTTACTTTTGTTATCATATCATTGAATCCCAATATGCTCTGGCTGGTCCAAGTCCATTTGTAAAAGAAAAATATTTCCTCTATGCCATCCCTTGTACTTCCTTACCTGCCCTTATCTCATCACACACATGCACAAGCACACACACACACATACACAATTACACTTTTCAAAGTTTCAAATACCAAGACTATAAGCACTCTATATTAACAAATGCTCACTTATTCACCACCAGCTTCTGTTTTTCCCATTCTGAGGTCATTCTAACACCCTAATATACTAGCCCCATTTAGAAAGTAACCAAGCTGTTAAGCTGTCAAGCTAAGTGTACTTCCTGATTGCTGACTTTTGAAAGTTTATCTCCTAATATATCTGCTACCACCTCATTTTTACCCTTTCACGGAGAACCTATACACATGCACACACACACACACACACGCACATGCACCATTGATAACTTTTGCTGCTTTGGGGTTACTTTGAGGACCATAGCCATCTGAGTTTTCACAGAGATTTTAATAAAAAGATCATTTTTATTACAAATAACTGATTTTGGGGGTTTTTTTAAATAACTGTTTTTTTTATAAGAAGTTAGGAATAATCTGTTTGTTCATACTTACTATCTTGGTACTTCCTGAATAAAAAGATGATCAATCAAGTAGTAAATGAAGTAGAAATAATAGAAGAAACAAGAACCAGCACTACCTTATTTCATCACATAAATATTATACCACAAATGGACATTGACCACAGCCAAGAAGCATAGTTCATCCTACCTGACTACATAGTGATAGATAATGAGGCAAACAAAATTTTATTCTAGGCCCTGAAAAGACCATTTCTAGACAGTTGCAAAAGGCTCTGAATCAGAATAAGATTGCTAATTGTGAGAGTTTTAAGCAAAAGGTTCAGAAAATTCAATTCTCAGTATGATTATTTTCATGGCTTTATACTACTCTTAAATATAGTTTACAAATGGAATAAGATATGACATAACAAAAGATTAGTAAGACATCAATGTTGAAATTAGAAAACAAATAAAAATAAACTTCAATGTAAATCTTATGCCATTTCATAACCAAGATTTAGTAGCACTTACTATTTGACATGTATTCTTGACTTTAATGTGTAGTAGTTCATTTAGCCCTCTCAACAACTCTATGAAGTTACATAATTTTCCTTATTATCCCTGTTTTATAAGTGAGGACTATGTTATATAGTCAAGTAACCTTTTTGTAATCACACAGCTACCAAGTGAAAAAGAATCAGAGCCTATAATGAAAAATTTAAAGTTAATTTTATATATTGAAAATAACATAATTAAAGGTGTCAGGTGTAGTAAATATTGTGTTAACCTAATGTTAGCAGATGCCTGGGTTACAACATGAACACTACCATAGTTCCATCTTAGTATTTTAAAAGACAGTATTATACTTGTGATTATAAGGTGGTCATAGTAGTTTTTGGGGCATGGGTTTGAAGCTTTCAAGGATCATGATATCTAATATTTTATATTAAATAATCTATTTAAAGTAGTCTAAGGATAAAAATATTTGTTTCTTTCATTACAACTTTTAACTCCCAAGTTTCTTTTTATCCTGTTGTTGCAGCTCAACCTCCAGACAGGTAGCAGACAAAACCTTGACCCTTGATTAGTGAAAAGAATACCTTGAGATGGAAAAGACAAAGGCACACAAGAAGGTTTTGAGGATGTGAGCAAATAACTTCAAAACTTGCAGAGATCCCTGAGCAATGTTTATTATATGTTTGTTTTCTTACCCCTCCCCATTACATGACCTCGCCTTTATTGTCCATGGGACCAACAGTGTTGCTTCAAAATACCATGTGACAATTGCCCCATTCATCTTATTTGCTTTTGGCAGACTTTGAAGTTAGAAAAAGAACACATTGTGGTCCTTTCTAACCATCATATAAAAATTATTTTATATTGTTAAGACTAAAAATTGCAGTCAGTTTTTTCAGCCAGAAATTCTCTCCATCTTTTGTGTAAGTCTCTGTCTCCAGAAGAAGATTGTCTTAAATTTCATGACAAATGTTTTTAATATTGTGATAGCCACTTAAGAAATCTTATGACAGACGCTTTTAAAATTGTGAGAGCCACTCCAGGTTTAATATCACTCATAATAAATTGTTATTTTATTGTTAATGTTGCTTATTATTGTTATTGTTTTATGAATATGGTACACATAATTAAAATAGTTGAGACTCATCAGTACTGTGCAGTGTTTGCTTAACTTGACATTTATCCCATTCAACCTTGCTAACCTAGAAAAATTGATAACATATGTCATTTGCCAAGAAGTTTTAGAAATGAATGAATTGGATGCAATAAAGCTATCTCTGGAGCTGCCATAAAGCAACTCAAAAACTGGTATAGAGTTTTTATAGCTTGTGGTAAAAGAGCTGAAAAATATAGTGAAATAATTAAAAGAAAAATATATTTCTTTCCTTTGCAGTTACAAACAGGGGCTGTGTTGCCAGGTGTACTTAAAAAAATAAAAAAACACCTTTTTGGGACTAATAATTACCAGATACACTTTGAGGACTATAGGACACATAGGCAATCAAGCCACAATGACCTACCAGACCTTTTTATAAGATCTCCACTATTTGTCACCACTCTGTATGCTTATTTTTATTACTTAAATCTAGCCCTCTGCTCCACCTAGGTGAGTCTCCCTACTTTTCTCTACATTGTCTTGCTTGTATATATAGGCACCATATCCTTTTTGGTATCTTCCCTTAACTAAGACCTTTCTCATTCAAGAATCTCAGACTTCAATGAACAATATTGCTCCTCCATTTTTCAAGTTTCTATTCTTAAAGTCAGCTGAGAAAGATCATAGCACATTTGGGGAACTACCCATATTTTGGCATGCATATAGTACACGGTGGGACTGGGGCTGATGAGAAGTGAGATTGGAAAAGTAAGCAGGGACCTCGTTTGCCTTTAGAGAGTTTATATCTCATCCCAGAGGTAATAGGTAACCTTTAAAAGATTTTAAGCGTGGTAGCAATGTGATTGATTGCACTTTAGAGAAATAACTCTGGTGGTGGTGTGGAGGATGGATTTAAGAAGAAGGCATAGAGAAAAAGAGGACAGAGGACACCTGTTAAGACACAGTTGTGGTAGTCCAGATTCTAATTCAAAAGAGCTTGAAATAAAGCAGTAAGAAGTAAGAATAGAGAAGCGAGGACACATTTGAAAGCTATTAAGACAGAAATGGCTGTAATTACTGGATTATTTGATGTAGTAGGAAAGAAAGTGGGAAAAGTTCAGTTTAACTCCAAGCTTTCTGATGTGGGGAGATGGTGGTGCCATTAACCAAGTTGAAATATAGAGGAGAATGGAAGAGAGGTGGTGGTAATGATACCAGTTTGTGACAAATGAAGATGGAGATTCTTGAGTAACATTTAGGTGCTGATGTCCAAAATTCATCTAAGATAAGCCCTGACCTTTAATATACCCCAGATGTAGAAGAAAAAGAACATAATGTTTATTGACATTGTATTTATAAATGTAGGGTTAGCAATTGTATGAAGCATTATCAGAATATTTGATCTTAACAATTACCCTTTAGAGTCATCATCACATGTAATAGTAGCTCCACTGTACATAAAAATAGAAAACAAAGGCTCAAAAAAGACAAAATATGTTGTTCAAAGCTACAGATACAATTAAAAGAACTTGGAACTGGAACACTTGTATAGCAGTGATGGATTCCAGAAAGTAACCCGTGGCTCAGGAAAAAAATGCTTGTAACAAATCTTCTGATTTCCAGAATCAACATTGTGTTACTTTATGTTAAGTTAAAGATGAAACACCTCAAGAAGAAAGTAACAAATTACATGTTTACATAAAACAACTACTATAAGTATAATTAATTTTTGTAGATTTCTGTGCTTTGCATAGTTATAAATTACCTAAAAAATAAATTTCCATTTTTCCCCTATTTTTTTTATTTTGGTAAAATGCACTTAACATAAAATTTACCGTCTTAACCAATTTTAAGTATACAGTTTAGTGCTATTAAATATATTCATGGGACACCTGGATGACTTAGTCAGTTAAGTGTCTGACTCTTGATTTCAGCTCAGGTCATGATCTCAGGGTCTTGGGATTGAGCCCTGTGTTGGGATCCACACTGAGAGCAGAGTCTGCTTGTCCCTCTCCCTCTCCCCACTTGTGTGCACTCTCTTTCACTCTAAAAAAATAAAATATTTAAAAAATAAACATATTCATAATGTTGTCCAAACATCACCACCATCCACCCCCATAACTCTTTTTACTTGTAAAACTGAAACTCTATATCCATTAAATAAGAACTCGCAATCCAATCCCCAGCCCATGGAAACCACCATTCTACTTTCTGTATCTGTGATTTTGACTAGTCTAAGTACGTCATATGGTGGAATGATACAGTATTTGTCTTTTTGTGACTGGCTCTTTCACTTAGCATAATGTCCTCAAGGTTCATCCATGTTGAACCATATGTCAGAATTTTCTTCCTTTCTAAGGGTAAATAATGTTCCATTTTATATTTAAACCATATTTTGCTTATCCATTTATCCAACAATGGACAGTTGTGTTGCTTCCACGTTTTAGCTTTAATGAAATAATGCTGTTTATGAACATGGGTGTACTAATGTCTCTTCAATACTCTGCTTTCAATACTTTGAGCATACACAGAAGTGTAATTGCTTCATCATATGGCAATTCCTTTGTGTGTGTAGGTGTGGAACTGTTATATTGCTTTCCACAGCAGCTGTACCATTTTATATTCCCACCAATACTGCACAAGAGTTTCAATTTCCCCAAATCCTGGGCAATATTTGTTATCTTCCATTTTGTTATTCTGTGGGGTTTGTTTTGTTTTATTTTTATATAGGTCCCATCCTAATGAGATGATACCTCAGTGAAGTTTTGATTTGCATTCCCTTAACGATTAGTGATGTTGAGCATCTTTTCATGAACTTATTGGCCATTTTTACATATTCCTTGAAGAAAAGTCTATTTAAATCTTTTGCCCATTTTTGAGTCATTATTTAATTTTTGTTGTTGTTGAATGTTAGGAGATTTCTATATATTCTGAATATTAACCCCTTATCAGATATATGATTTGCAAATATTTTCTCCCATTCTGTTGGTTGTCTTTTTACTCTGTTTACATTGTCTTTTTTTAAAAGATTTTATTTATTTATTCATGAGAGACAGAGAGAGAGAGAGAAAGAAGCAGAGGGAGAAGCAGGCTCCCAAGGAGCAGGGAGCCCGATGCGGGACTTGATCCCAGGACCCCGGGATCATGACTTGAGCCGAAGGCAGATGCTTAACCATCTGAGCCACCCAGGCGCCCGACATTGTCTTTTGATGCACATTTTTAAAATATTTCATGAAATCTAATGTGTCTGATTTTTCTTTTGTTGCCTATGCTTTTGGTGTTATACTCAAGCAATCACTGCCAAATCCAATGTCGTGAAGATTTCACTTTGTTTTCTTCTAAGAATTTTACAGTTTTAGGTCATATATTTAGGTTTTTGATCCATTTTGAATTAATTATTGTATATGGTGTTAGGTAAGGGTCCAACTTCATTCTTTTGCATGTGGATATCCAGTTTTCCCAACACCATTTCTTGAAAAGACATCATCAATGAATGGAATTGGCAGCCTTATCAAAAATCATTTAACCATGCATGTAAGAATTTATTTCTGAACTCTCTATTTTTTTTCATTGGTCTACATGTCTGTCTTTATGCCAGTACAGCATAGTTTTGATTCCTGTATCTTTTCAATAAGTTTTAAAATCAGGAATCGTGAGTCCTCCAGCTTTGTCCTTTTTCAAGACTATTTTAGCTATTTTGGGTCCCTTGATATTCCTAATAAATTTTAGGATGGGTTTTCTATTTCAGCAAATAACATCATTGGGATTTTGATAGAGATTTCATTGAATCTATATATCACTCTGGGTAGTGTTGACATCTTAACAGTATTAAGTCTTCCAATCTATGAACATGAGATGCATTTCCATTTATTTATGTCTCCTATCATTTTTTTCAGTAATGTTTTGTAGTTTTCACTGTACAAGTCTTAACTTCCTTGGTCAAGTTAATTCCTTTTTACATGGTATTGTAAATGGAACTTTTTAAGTTCCTTTTTAAATTGTTCATTCTTAATGCCTAGAAATGCAATTGATTTTTGTGTGTTGACTTTGTATACTGCTACATTGTTGAATTCATTTATTATCTCCAGCAGCTGTGTGTGTGTGTGTGTGTTTAATCATTAGGGTTTTCTAATATGTAAGATCATATCATCTGCAAACAGAGGTAATTTTAGCTCTTTTTTTTTTCAATTTGGATACATTTTATTTCTTTTTCTTGCTTAATTGTTCTGGCTACAACTTCCACCACTGTGCTGAATAGAAGTGATGAAAGAGGGCATCCTTTCTTTATCTCTGATCTTAAAAGAAGTCTTTCACTACTGAGTGTGATATTCACTGTGGGGTTTTTATATATGACTTCTATTATATTAAGGTAGTTTCCTGCTATCCCTAGTGTATTATGTATTTTTATCATAAAAGGACGTTGAATTTTGTCATTTCTTTCTACATTAAATGAGATGATCATGTGATTTTTC